AAAGACCCAGGGCGGAACTATAACTTGGACCTCCCTGATCCCAGTCCAAGTCTGTGTCTCTGATTGCCATGGACCAGAGAATGGGCACTAGGTCTACTTGTCTTATGAGATCATAGTTGCCAGCACGTGCCTGCATAACCTAGTTGGCACCTTCCTTCGGAGGAAAACACGGTCACTCTCCAAGAGTAGCCATGGACTTAGGAGTTCTTCCAGACACATGTAGTCTCTGGTGCTCACTCTGGTCACTGGGCAATTGGAGGGTTCCAATCCTAACGGAACAAAGAAGGCCGAACAGTCTGGGTGGTCAGAGTAAACCTCCTCTGCGTCTGAGGGTTGATTTGACTTAGTAAGTTCTCTCGCACGCTGCATTTTTTGCCCTAATTTAAACAGACGGGGGGGGGGGGGGTGTGACTGAAAAATGTGTAAATGTTAAAATGTTATAATTCAGAAGCCCTTGAGATCTCCCTATGGATCATCATAATAATTAAAATGCAGCACAGAAGACCCCTTGCTTCACTGGCTCACAGGGTAAAAGGAAAATGAACACCCAGAATGAATAAAGATTGGAAGTTGAAGGGGCTGGGAATTAGCATGCTGCTGTGTGCTACTCAATAGAGCAGATGGCCTTGATATATGGGGAGAGTAAGGAAACAGCTGTCCCTGTGTCCTGGCCCCTTGTTTCTCTCCTAGAAGGGCAGGTTATAGGGACCGCTAAAGGCAGTATGGGAGGAGGACTGGAAGCTGTGTGGCTTTTTTTGTTTTCTGGGTTTTTTTGAGAGAACACAAGTGCACACACCCAGCTGCGCACACACATGGGAATGAGCCAGGGAGGGGCAGAGAGAGAGAGGAGGGCAAAGAATGAATGTTAAGCAAGCTCCAGGCCCATCGTGGAGCCCCACCCAGGGCTCAATCTCAGGACCATGAGATCATGACCTGAGTTGAAATCAAGAGTTGGACATCTACCTGACGGAGCCACCCAGGCACCCCAGAAGCTGCATAGTTCTGATGGGAAAGCCTAAGGCCTGAGGATTCTCTTCTGTGAGTCTGAAAGTCTGTGAGTGCCCAGGCACCGAGGTTCCCGTCTCTGCTTTTTCTAATGTATTTCCACTAAACTTTAAGCCTATTAAGACTTTACTTCTCCTTCAACACCCTGCTCAAAAGCTACCTCGTCTGAGAACCCTTCTGGCTCAAAGCAGTCACACTTTCCTTTCTGCTCACTGTGCATTTGGTTTATACTTTTCTTAAAGCATCCATTAATTTTTGCGTTGAATTCTAGTCATTTGTGTATGTGCTAGTTTCTTTGGAGTACTGGGAAGCCCATTGAGAAGACTCAGTGTCTTCATCTTTTTTTATCTCTTGGGTGGCCCCTGAAGACAAACATTTTATATGTGCTTATTGGTGGACTGGGTAGTTACAGCCACAGTTCTCAGGACACAGTTTTAAGGACCTGTCTCTCACTTCAGCCTTCTCGCTTTATTACCTTCTGTCCCTTCCTTCTGCTGTTGAGAGTTGTAAGGATGATGAAGGCAATGGATGTCTGTGTCACGTACACTGTCTTTGGTGAGCTTTTGCACAAACCTGTGAGGAACAGACAAGATAGTGGTCTCATCTGTGAGCAAAATATGTTGTAATAGATTCTGTGCAGAGAATAACAAGAATTGTTTACATCTCTTGAGAGCTGGTGTGTGCCAAGTGTGGTGCTAGGTGCTTTACACGTATAATTTAATTCTCACACAATCCTAGGAAGTATGTACTATTAAGATCCCAAAATTATAGGTGAGAATACTGGGCACAGAGAAGTCAAGTAATTTACTCAATATCTGGCTCATGATCAGTGCATTATATTGTTAACACGTTGGCCCTAAGAGACCCAATATTATCCTGACTTTACAGAAGGAAAGGACCACTGCGTAGTTCTTTTCCTACCTGTTGATTTGCCAGGAAATCTGGCTTAGCCTTGGATATGTTTTTTTTTATGGGGAAGAGAACACCAGCTTTTTAAATCCTGAGGATCTTAGATCTTGACAAGCTTTTCAAATACCAAGGTATCATTTCTAGGGAATTGCCTGGCTAAGTCATGTAATTATAAGAATATAAGTCATTATAAGAATCCCTTTCCATGATTTCTTACACCCCATAAAGTATTGGTAGATTGCATTCTCTCTAATGGGATTATGACCCTCAGAAATTCTTCCTCTTCACATATTTCCTCCTTCCATAAGTTTCCATTCCTTCTTTCTGCCCACTTCCTTCCCCTGGCATCTGTTTGGTATTGAGCTCTTGGCATCTGTCTCTCTTTCTTCATTGATGCCTAGCATGAATGGGTGGCCGTTAGACAGAGCCTTCATTGTCAGCTCCCACAGCAACAGTCAGAACATTCTCTGCAGCCTGGGTTCTGAGGTCCACCCAGGCAGTGTCAGCCAGGCTAACTCCCAGTTCTGGACTCTGGTGTTTTTCTTTTGTTGTTGGGCTCCCGTCCCTCCCCAGAATATTGCCAAATAAGGAGCTAGATGCTGACACAAAGGAATGGAAGCCTGTGTTCCTGTTACCAAAGTCCTTTTTTTGTATTCTAGTGCAGTCAGAGGAACATTGCACCTTGGGCTGGAATCTGTAGGAAACTGGCCACTAAGGTAGGGTCCTAGAGGTAGTAATTTTGACTCTCCCCATCAGCCTCTTCTAGGAAGTGCTGTTGGTCTGAGCCACCATAAGATGGTTATATGTTGTCTTCTCTGGCCCCACTGCACAACACTAAGGGGCCTCTTTGTTCATGCTGCCAGTTGTCATATATGGAATTCATAGCCCTGAAGTCATGGCTTCCTGGGGCTAAGTTAAGCTAGATGGAACTCTCACATATGTGGCCTTTCTTCTTCCCTAGAGAAATGATTCAAGTTGTGTAGTGCTCTGGATCTGACCTTTGGTGTATAGAGTTTGTGAGTTAGGGGTGTGAAAATCTTGAAGCAGTCAAGTGTAGAGGAAGGAGATGCCAAAGTTCATACTTCTTGGCTCCTGTGGATAAGTAATCAGAGCCATAACGTGGAACTAATTGGCTGTCCCCTTGAAGCCTCTGCAGGCTGGCCAGAAACTGAACAGACTGTGGAGACTGAACCATCCTTCTTGAGAAAGTGGGGTGAATGGAATCACATCCCTGCTCAGACCTCAGGGTGATGGGCTTGTTATGAGAACTGGTTGTTGGGATCCTTCCTTAAAGGCCCCACTGGAAGAGCCAGCGTTGTGGGACGCTGGCATTGTGCATGGGCAGTGAAGACTGTGTTTTAGTGCATCATGTTTATAAAGTACTCCCCTCCTCACCTGCTGACCCCCTTCACTTGTGGAACTGAGCTTCAAGAAGGGGCCTTGGGGTGCAGGCAGGCTGATGAGGGGGCATGGGTGCTATGCAGGCAGTGACAGGAGAGGCACCCAGGCAGGGGTCTGTGGTACCCGCTGAGCAGAAGTTTGCTATCACAGCATGGTGGAGACCTGGATTCTCATCACTGCTCTAACATAAAAGGGATTTTTAAGGACCAGGCAGTCCGTCCTGCTTATTATAGATACCATAGCCCAGCAGGGTGAGATCAGTGCCAAGGCCACCCAGCTAGAGAGCAGCACAGCCAGAACCAGAGCCAGGTGTTCAGAAAAGCCTAGGTGAAAGTCTTCTCCCCCACCACCTTGGACACAACCACCAAAGGCCTGAGGCTCTTAGATTTTACATCTGTAAACATATTTGAACTTGACCCTTTGGATTCTAAGATTCTCTGATCTCATGAACAGTCCTTGGGAGCTTTGGGCAGACTAGGGCATCATTTGGTGTTTATACTGTAGATGCCACTTACAGAGGAAATAACGTTGAGTATTAACTTGGGAATGTGAGCTGGTACTGGGCACAGGGCTGCTGATGTGGGTGAAAATCTCTAATGGGTCTGAGTTCACACTGGGCGAGCCCCTTGGGTGTCCCAGTGTGATCCTGGTGTTGGACTCTGATTTGGTCAATTATTTACGCCACTTCAGGGCAGAGGTATTTGATACCTTGGGTGAGTATACAGTAGTAGTTGGCCTTCTGAGCTAGTGGTGTCAGGTTTCGGGGATGTTGGGGACGCCTTGAGAGAGCTGCAAATATCTCTTTGGCATTGACAAATTAGACCGTTTTGTTTTCAGTGGATCAACTGAGGTTAAACTTAAACAAATAGGAGCAGCTGGGAGGCTTTGGAAGGAGTGAGATGTGCACATTCTAAAAAAAAAAAAGAAAGAAAGAAAGAAAGAAAAAAGTCTGTGCTCCCTGAGGAAGGAAGGATGAGGCGTGGAACCCTGAACAGCCTCCCCCCGCCACCCACCCCCCCCCCCAGCCCTGAGGAAGGAAGCAGTTACTTCTCTGCTGTTTTGTTTTGCACGTTCCGTTCAAGAATTCCAGAAGTTGCAGGTTGTGGATCATGACCTCCATTTTTTCCCCCCTCTGTTGCTGCTTGCCAGAGGAAGGGAGGGCGGGCGGCTCTAAATAACACTTTGGCCTTTATGGAAATGTATCAGATGTTCCAGGAGTAAGTCTGGCCTGCTCACTGGCGCACTCGCTCGCTCTCTCTCTTTCTCTCTCTCTCTCTCTCTCTCTTTCTCACTTTTACTCCATGTTTGCTCTCTGTCTCCTTACTCGTGTCCTTTTCTGTAGGATGTAGTCAGCACAGGTAACCTTATATAGCAAGGTCTGGTCATTAATGTTAACAGAGACCTAGCAACACGGAAGGCTGCCAGATAGCATTAATCAGGCCAGTGTTTGGAATTTCATAAATGCTCCGACTTCGGGTACAAATTGAACATTAAGAACAATACAAAACTGTTTTCTTCCTTCCCCTCTTTTCTTCTCCCCCTCTGCCCTCTCTCCAGCCCATCCAGCTTCCCTCTTTCCCCCGTTTTTGAATTCCTCAGCTCTGCCGCACGCTCGCTGCATTGGAACTTTGTTGATTTTTGCCACGTTTAATTTTTTATTTCTCTGTCTCTCCGTCCACTCCAAGACCACAGGCGGAGCAGCGGCGGCCGGAGCCAGGACTCTGCAGAGGGGCAGGACGGGCAGGTCCCAGAGCAGTTCTCCGGTCTCCTCCACGGCTCCTCCCCAGTGTGTGAGGTGGGGCAGGACCCTTTCCAGCTGCTCTCTGCCGCTGGCCAGAGCCATCCAGAAGGGTCCCCCGCTCAGGGCGCCTGTCACGAGGCCAGCATGCAGCTGGAGGAGACGAGTGTGCACGCTCCTGGAGCCTCCCCGCCCAGTGTCCTGGACCCGAGTAAGAGAGTGGGTTACCCAGCCGGCCTGCCCACCACCAACAGCCAATCGCACCCCGAAACTTTGACTCACACGGCATCTCAACACCCTGGTGGTGCCGAGGAAGAGAGAGACAGGAGCGGGGCTAGAAGCCGAGCCCCTCCCACCAGCAAACCCAAAGCTGAACTCAAACTCAGCCGCAGCTTGTCCAAGTCAGACTCTGATCTCCTGACCTGCTCACCCACGGAGGACGCTACAATGGGGAGCCGGAGCGAGTCCTTGTCCAACTGCAGCATCGGGAAGAAGAGGCTGGAGAAGTCGCCCTCCTTTGCCTCGGAGTGGGATGAGGTAAGGCTGTGTGACGTCACGGGGGACCAGGCTGGCCACGGCCCGCCACAGCTCCCCTGTGGGCCGACTCCCAGGATCGGGATTGCCCTGGTTCCTTCACACTGTGACCAGAGTGTTTCTGACAGCTGTGAGGTGGCAAGCCCCTCGTTGCCAGTGCAGGGGATCTTATGGCCCAGGTGGCAAACAAAAGGTCCGTTCACAGTTAAATTGGAGGGTGGCGGCCCCAGGCAGAGCAGGTCTGAGGGAGAGGCGGTTCCTAGAAATGACCTGCTATTTGGAAATCTGTGGATCCCATTAGCCACCATGGAGGGAGCCATGCTCACCCTAAAGATGCTTCAGAAGAGCTCGAGAACCTTGTGTGAGCCTTCAGGAGGAAGAGGGAGGCCCAGGGTTAGCCAGGAGGGGTGAGGGGGCTGGGCTTGGGGAGAACCTGCTGTAAAGGGATCAGAGAGGGGCTTTTCTAGTCTCCCCTCCTCCGTGATTATTCTTACTGCATTCCCCTGGAAGACCAAACGCCTCTCCCTGCAGAAGCATTCTGCCCGTCCCACATTCCCGGGTTGATGAGGCACAGGGCTAGGTGGTTCCAAACACAAAGAGAGATTAGTGAGGACAAAACATTTGGAGTCAGAGGCCCAGGTTCCTTTCATAACCATTGTTACAGAATAGTTAGAAATATGTACCCGAATATTTTTCAGTGACCTGTGACATAATCTCACTGGGCAGAAGAATGTGTTTCTCGAAGACTGTTAAACACTCAGAGAATGCAAGAGTGCTACCCTTGCAGGCTTCTTGCTGAGAGGAAGCTGCCTTTGAAGGGGACTGGGTCTGTCTCCCAGAAACATGTTCAAGAGCTGAATTTAGCTCTTGGAGAGGAGGGGAGCAGTGCAGCTGACACGTCCATTTGAGCAATCTGTAGACTAAATGCCCTACCCGAGTCTATTCACGTTGCAGCTGCAAAGTTATATAAACCAGAGTGAATCCCGTTCCCAGTGTGGGAACAGGGCAGGGGCAATTCCTATCGCACTCGTCTCTCCAGATAAGAGAGGGGCTTTTGGGCTCTGTGTAGTTAGGGGCTAGGTATCCTGTGCAGTCGAAAGTTTTCACTGGTTCATAAACCAAGATTTGGTGAGCCCGTACTAGACTCTAGGCCACTTGAGGAAAATCAGTTTGAGTGAGAGAGCCCCTGGCCCATGGGACATGACACACACAGTCTGTGTGTTTGTAGGAGTGTGTGCTCTGCCTTTGTCTTTCAAAACAGAATTTTACTCATTTACAGTCAAGTAGAGGGTTAGGCAGTTTAAGAGTAAGATAAGCCCTGGGCCCCTGGGTGGCTCAGTTAGTTAAGCATCTGACTTTGGATCGGTCATGATATCAAGGTTCAGGAGTTTGAGCCCTACTTCGGGCTCTGTGCTGGCAGCTCAGAGCTTGGAGCCTGCTTCAGATTCTGTGTCTCCCTCTTTCTGCCCCTCCCTGGCTTGTGCTCTGTCTCTCTTTCTCAAAAATAAACACTTAAAAAAATTTTTTTAACTTATAAAAAAAAAAGTAAGGTAAGTCCAGTGTGCTCTGAAGTGGCAGGAGGGGCCCATGGAGAATAAATATCAGTGGGGACAGGGAAGGTGGAGACAAGGGGTGAGAGAGGGTAGAAGAGGGCTTTAGGACTGGTCACAAAGAAGCAGAATTAAAGAGCCAAGTGTTTTGGTGAAAACCAGGCTAAAGCTAGAAGAATGAAGAAAGAGCACTGGAGAAGAGAATAGCGTGAGCAAAGGCATGGAGCTGGGAAAGCTTAGGTCCTTTGGTTTCTATAGTGTAGAATTTGTATAAGAAGCATAAGAAAGAAGGGGAGGGGGGTGCCTGGCTGTCTCAGCCAGAAGAGCATGAGACTCTTGATCTCGGGGTTGTGAGTTCAAGCCCCACGTTGGGTGTAGAGATTGCTTAAAAAATAAAATCTCATGGGGCGCGTGGCTGGCTCAGTTGGTTGAACATCCACCGTGGGCTCAGGTTATTCAAGCCCTGTGTGGGGCTCTGTGCTGACAGCCTGGAGCCTGCTTCAGATTCTGTGACTCCTTCTCTCTCTGCCCCTCCCCCGCTCGTACTACATCTCTCAAAAATAAATGAACATTAAAAAAAAATTTTTTTTAATAAAATGAAAAAAAAATCTTAGAAGAAAAAGAAATAAGAGCATGAGATTGGGACCAGATCAAGTGGGAGAGGCCTGAACATGAGGCTGAAAAGTAAGTATTTTGATTTGATGTGAAGGCAACATCTCAGAATCCTTCAAATGGGCTGGAAGACAGCTTTATCAGTCTCACCAACTGCATCTTCTTTTTGGGCTCATCTCCTGAGCATACCTCTCCCACCCAAGAGGTAGACAATGCTGAGTGAATCGCCACAGGATACCCCTGCTCTGTCACCACGCAGCGTTGCCAGGCGGTCTTATGGGTTCCACCATTTCCTCCTGGAGGAGAAACATGAAATCACTGAAGCACAACCTTGCTTTTCATTGAAGTTGGCTGTTCGGGCTAACACACTAGTTGTCCCTTGGCACCTTAATGAGAGGATGTTCATGTGCTGCAATTTCCATGGCAGGTAGAGATTGCAGGTGGGTCCAGTGAGCCCAGGCACTGTTTGAGGTCTCAGTGTCCTGGGCCAGTCTGTGCTGTGTCTGAAACACCAGAAACAGTGTTACACTTTAAATCTGGAAAACAAAGGCAGCTGAGGTCTTCCTGGAAAGAATTCAGAAGATCAAGATTTGCTTGCAATTGTGAATGTTACCAGAGCCCTTCATGCAAAATCCTTCATCGTTTTTGAGTCACATTACACTTGGTTTTTGTGGATAGCTCTGTCCAAAGAGAAACTTCAGAAGTGTTTCCCTCGGTGGTTGGCCCTACACACAGTCCTTTGGCAGACACTCCCAGAGCAGGGCATTAGTGAATGCCTGCTCCCCATCCCCCACCCCTGGCTAGGGCCAGAAGGCTGCTGTACCTTATCTTGTGCTTATTTCTTTGTCTTGTTCATCAGCAGATCCCAGGAGGTGGGGGAAGTGGTTCTGAAGGAGCGTGGGTCCGGTTCAGCTCCCTGTGGGGCCCAGGCAGCCGTGATCCCAGCACAGATGGGGTTGTGGGCTAGTCTGCCAGGCTGCTCCTCGAAAGTGGTGCAGGGTAACCCACGGGGCTCAGGCTCCAGAGTCAGTAGATTCAACTATGAGCACGCACTCCACCATCACCTCCACCTTGTTGCATGAGGGGCCTCAGGAATCCTCAGTGTTGTTACCTATGTTTGTGAAACAGAGGCAATCAGATCTGTGTTTCAGAGGCATTTTTACCAGTTAGACGTGTATTTAAGTCCCTAGCATAGTTCCTAATAATACTAAGGTGCTGAGTGAATGGTAAATAATTTGTACTATTATTGTGCTTGAAGCTTTGGAGAATGGGAACTGAGGCCCAGAGTGTCCTCAGAACTTAAGGCAGAACTTCTGGGGGGTTGTCTGGTGCTGGCAGAGTGGCCGGGAAGCAGTAGAGTTCAAGCCCCTCACCCCGTGACCACCTGCGTGACTCTGGCCCACCCCAGAGACAGAAGAGCCTGCCCAGCCTGGGAAAGTAGGGCAGTAGCCCCCCATTGTTCTTTGAGAAGTTAATGAGCCTTTCTACCAACTCCCTGAGAGGAGCAGAGAGGTGGGAGAGGAATCTGCAGTCTTCTGTCTGTACTGTTTATTTTTCAAATGTATCCTTCTATGTAATGGCCAGCAGTGGCTGCTTGATTGGTTGATAAGTGGGGCTGATGTTATGTAGCTGGGGAACCTGTACAGCCGAGAGATTAAGAGTTGCTTTTTCCAAATGCAGACCCTCCTTACAGGTGCTTAGCACAGCCCTTGCTGATTACCCAGCACGACAGGACTCGGGAAAGGTAGCCTGGTTAAGGTAAACCTCTGAGGTGGTGTCCATTGTGATGCTAGCATTCTCCCTATTTCCGGTTAGACTTTCAGGAACAAAAAAGAATAGAGTTTGCCTTTTAAAAGAGCTCAGCCCCAGAGGATATCTAAATCCAAGCTTTAGTAGATTCTTTCTCCGTTTACCAGTCAAAAGTCAAAGCTCTCATTGCTGTCTTGATGATGCCTGATAGAATATGGGTGTCTTAGAAGCTAAACTGGAAAGCTATACGTAAATGAAACATTGATAATATACAGGTCAGGAGTTGGAAAATCACCTACATCTCTCTACATGTCGTTAACCTCTGTTAACATTTGACGTATATCCAGATTTGGGGTCTTAGTATATTTACTGATTTAGAATTTGTTTTTCTTACCTAATTTCTGCATTTTGTGGGTATCTTACCATGGCAGTGCCCATAAGATCCAGATTCAGATCTGAATTCTGAGAGGCATAGTATTCTGCTATGTGACTGTGTCATAGGGCTTATCAGTTTGCTGTTGTTTAAACTGCCCTTCGGGTGTGTTCTCCCCACTTCTCCACCTGCCTGTGTGTCCCAGAAGGCTGAGCTGTGTGGACAGCATCACCCGGCCAGGGAAATCTGGGGTTGGCTGTGTCCTACTACTGAAGACCAGCTGTCCTGTGAGGGACCTTTCCCAAAAGCTGCTCTCTCTGGGTTCTGGTAACTAGTGCCTCCCCTTGACGCTTCCAGCCTGAGGCTCCCCGCTGTGACTGTCTCCTCCCATTATTCTCTTCCCTTGTTGCTTTCTGTTACACTCTCTCTCTACCCTACCCAAGCCTGTGTATATAATCCCTGTATTGGGGTGCCTGGGTGGCTCTGTTGGTTAAGCTTCTGACTCTTGATTTCGGCTCAGGTCATGATCTCAGGTTTGTGAGATTGAGCTGCTCGGTCCACGCCATCAGAACAGAGCCTGCTTGGGGTTCTTTCTCTCCCCCTCTCTCTTTGCCCCTCCCCCCCACTCACTCTCTCTCAAAATAAATAAATATTTAAAAAAATAATAATAGTCCCTTTATTAAGCTCCTTTAGTTGCCCCGGTTGAACGTGCCATCTTT